AGTCCGTTCGACTCCTGAAACCATTCAAATCCAAGGCACAGCTTCCGATTGGCTGCAGGAGCTTCCTGCACTCAAGCGGAAGCCACACCAGATGTTCAGCTTCAGAAAAACGTTCGCAAACCGTTTGGGAACCAAGGTACCACTGATATGATACCAGTATTATGTGTAATGGGAAATCATTGGTTATTATTAGCATCTTTCGGTCTTATATCTTTCTGCTCAGCAGTTCTCTCCGAAGCAGAAGAGCCCCGTTAGAATTTTCCTGTGCCTTTCCTTGGGATGTTTTTGGTATTGGCAACATAGAGATTATACTACAGAGATCATGTCTTTAAAAGGGTATCATGGTCTGCATGCATGTTGCAGAGGATAAATGTTCATTTACAAGATTATTGTTATATGGTTTCTTTTAAACAGTAAAGAAACAGATCTCCTAGTTCTTGAGAAGTGCTTTTCATTATTCATAAAGTTCAGCTGCAAACAAGCAAAATGAAAAAACACCCCCCAAGAACTCAGCTATATATCTTGCTGTCATGTAACAACAGCTCCATCTGCTGGTGCACTGAGTCAGCAGGTGTGCTTGCAATAACCATGTCTGTAAATCTCCTGTATCCCACTGTCAGCACCTGCAGTGTATGTGTGTGTGTGTGTGTGTGTGTTGGATTTCCTCAATCTAGTTGTTTTGAGACTGTCATCATTCACTCTCCACAGGCAGGTGGCCCTAGGCTAAAACAACCCAGTACCTCCTTACAATGGAAATAGAAGACATCATCCTTGCACATCTTTCCCCAACACTATGCAAAGGGCACCTGGCATGTATAAAGTGGCACTTTACAATCCTATTCTGATGCGGAAGTATGGAGAAGCCAGGAAAAATAAAACCCAGATTGGAAGTAACTGGCAATCTCTGGAACACACCGTTTCTTCTAATGCGGTTAGCTCTGTCTTTTATTGCAAACCTTTTGCAATATTTTCAATGCAGCTGTCACTAACCCTTTCCTCACTATGAAAATGGGAAGGGAACTTTTGGGTCAGCCGCTGTGACGCCTTAGGGATGCCACGGAAGAGCAATGATCCTTGGGCTACAAAACTCTCAGATGCAGGTGTTTGGTCAGGGGGAAATCTCACTGCTAGGCTTGGAGCAGCACAAAAAAACCAGAGAGGTTTCCTGCTTGTATGGAGGCATTATTATTTCTTGTTCTAGTTCCAGCATCCTAATGACAGGCTCTGAGACCTTGGCAGAGGAGCTCAGACAAACGACAAATACAAGAGCAAAATTGTTCTGTAGAAAATTAGGACATGATCTGTTTTCTAACAAATTCTAAGCACAGTTAATAAAACCCAGTGCATAGGTTGGCTTATGCAAATGTTTAAGGCCAGGATCCCAGACTGACACAAACAGCTCAGTTTGAATAATAAATTATTATTATTATTATTAATCAGTCATTGTTTATGATTTCATTGATTCAGCTTAGATCAGTTTAGCAACACCATAGACACTAGATAATGGCCCATAAACACTCCATCAAAGCTAGCAGAATAAGCAGAAACAAAAATTTCTTTCTGGCTCATTCAATCTGGAAATGTATTCTATAGCCCTCAATAAACTAGTTCAATTTGTTAAAACTTGCCCTTAAAAACAGAATATAAGGACTCTTGTTCAAAACAGGATTTCCACGAGATGGCGCTAAAATCTGAAGGTTCTTAGAACAAAGGGTGTTTTCAGAAATGAGACTCAGAATAGTTTTTAGCCTGGAGGCTTCTCCTACCAGTACAAGAGGACAGGTTTTCTTCTCAGAATGGTGATGGGGCTGATACGCCACCTGCCTGAACCGCAAATGATGACTAGGATTTCAGGAAGCTACAGGATTGTAGGCAACAGAGATTGCCGCTAAACTGTGTTTTTGTTAGTGCTGAGAGCTGACTGATGCAATGAAAGAGCTACATAGATACACAGGTTAAAAATAAAAGAGATGCTTTTGAATGAGAACTGGAGCCCCTGTGGGCTTTGGCTTTCAGATTGTGTAACTTGAAATCCCACAAAATAGAATTCATGCTTAAAGTACTAAAGTGTATGATTGTAGAATCATAGAAATGCAGAGTTGGAAGGGACGCTGGTGAACATCTAGTCCAACCCCCAGCAATGCAGGGAATCCTGCCTGCAACCATTCCTGGGTGGGCTTGAACCAGCAACCTTCTGGTTAAGAGCCAGATGCAGTGACCCAGTGTGCCAGTAGTGACAGACTGATGTACCAAAGTATGTTTAAGGGCTACTGTATCCTCAGTTGCAGCATAAAGTACTAAAAGAATGCACCAAAATCTATTAGCATGTATTATGCTCTTAAGAAAGGAATAGTTAACCCTCACAATCACTTAAAAGTATCTATATAATTTTAGAGCCCTTAGAGAAATTCAGAATCTGCTGTTGACCTCCATTCACTTTCGTGTACTGAAAATCTGAAAATGAAATTCTGTAGATGAATATCAGCATTGCACAACAGGGCAGGAATTTGCCTCCTTAAGAATTAAAAATAGTTTTAATTCCCACCCATCCTCATTTTCTACCTGCAGAGGAAATATAAATGTGCTGATCTTTTTGTCTGCTGATCTTTTCTGGAAAATGATCTCATCTTCAACAACAGCAACAAGTAACTATTTGCACAGGATAGCATAGTTTGATCTAAATGTGAAAAATGTTTTTATAGAAGAAAGCAATTTCTCTATTTTGGTTTATGTGGCTATTCTTTTAAAACCGCTTTACAATGAAGTTTAGTCACTGTATGTGGTTAGATGAGACTGAAATAATTTTGTGTTGCCTTTCAAGTGGTACAGTACAAAATAGAAGCATTACCACTTGGTTCTGTGGAATTGCATTATTTTTTACTCGGAGAACATGACAAAATTTAAAACAAAAATTAGTCACTATCCTCCAAGAACAAGCTGATTTGAGGTGTACCACAAACTTAGTTTTTCAATTGTTTAACTGATGTGGGCCCCTTTTGAGAATATAAATAGTTTTTTTGCTTGCTTGTTTATCTTTGAAACTTGCATCATATCTCTTCAGTCCAATTACTACCATTTAGCAGCTACCATAAGCACCATTTATTTTTCCATTGCTTCTTTGAAGCTTTTTTTTCAGAAAAGTGGCACACACACTTATATTCACAGAACTATGGTCTACAGTCAGTGGCGTAGCGTAGGTTGTCAGCACCCGGGGCAAGGCAAGTAATTTGTGCCCCCTAACCCGTGGATTTGCGCACCCTAACCCTAACCCCCAGATGTTGCGCCCGGTGCGGGCGGCCCCCCCTGCACCCCCCACGCTACACCACTGTCTACAGTCGAATCACTCTACACTAGGGTGGTATCTTCCAGGAGTTAATTCTCTTTCAAATTTATCCCCACCCTCCAGACCTGATCACGATGAGAGGTGATGACTAACATGAGGAAGTAATGAAAAGGGGATGGATTGATTGATTGATGGTATGTGGTCATCAGTTGCTTTCATATTCTGAAACGTCACAGCAACGATGTGGCAAGATGATAGCTCTACCTTTTCTGGCTCAACCTAAACTAGGCTTAGGAATCAATAAGCTGTGATCCCAGATGTTTCTGTGATACCCCAAAACAGTCAATGGCTGAAATCAAAGCAAAATAAGACACAAAAACACAGACTATTGCTCATCGTCTCAAATAACATTCTGAATCACAAACCAGGAGCAAGGGTTAACTGAGTCCCTTCATGTTAGATGTGCTTGCTGAAATGAAATGCATGCAAAACAGATAGATTCAGATGGACAACAGCAAGAGCATCAAACCAAAGTCAGTAACTAACCTTTTTCTTTCTTTTGGTTCAGTAGTAAACTAAACCTGATGGGAGGTTCTGTCAGGTCTAGTCTCCATGACACATTTACAAAATATGGAGGCCACAGGAAACAGCCTCTGCATGGTGGCCACAGAAGACTAGCTATATGGAACACTTCCATCATGTAGAGTTTCAATACCAGTGGGCAACCATGGAATGGCTAAAAATGGCATGGGAACTTTCTAGATGACAGGGGCAATCCATGCAGCAAATCACTTTCTCTACTGAAATTCTTCCAGTAGTTTTCACATGACAAGCGTAACATGAGAAAAGGCCCTTAAAGTCTGAGCAGGAAACAAAACTCATCTATTGGGCTTTTTCCCAAGTGAAAATATTTGACTATTAGCATACTAGATTGACTTCCACAATCTAAGAACAGATCTCAGTTGGAGCATGTTAGAGGTGCAAAAAAGAAACTGTGGACAACTTTCTTTCTCTTTTGACCTCAGAGTAAATGACCACCAACTAAGAATACTTATGCTGGTTATAAACTCATGTGATCAGACTCTGCTGCTTTTACCCTTTACTGCAGTTTGCTTTGGCTCTAGAATGACTGAGCCTATTGCTTTCCATAAAGTTTGCAAACTACTTGAGTGGCTTCTGGAGGCTGATTTGATTGCATAGTTGTCTTGAGAATATTTTTAGTTGCTAAGTTACATTGTTGTTATATCTTTATTTATAGTATTTCATAGCATTTTGACAGCCTTGAGCTTGGGAAAGACAGCATATAATCATTTTAAATAAATAAAATAAAAGTAAAACCAGCATGGCCACAAAACCATGGATGCACCTTTGTACCAGCCTTGATGATTACTGAAAGAACTGAGTGAAAACAAAGAACATTGGAGCAAACAGGAGTCAAGACTGTTGATTCAGCTTATCCCACTGTAACATGTTCAGAAACCTACGTTTAATGTCATTTATATGCCCAAAGTAATGTCACAACTTTATTGATGAGCTCTTGCTTGGATATTTTAAATATATGATGCTTGAAACTCTGTTCTAAGGAAGCACAAAAATCATACTCCATTTTTACTATCCACTTCCTTCTAATAACAACAGCTCAACACGTCCTGAATCCTCATGACATTTGTCTACTGAAATCCGGCATGTGTTTATGAAGAGTGTCTGCATTCCTTACTTGTGGCTGCTGAGTGGCAGTTGGTTTCTGAGGAGATGGTACAGGTGTTTTAGACAACAGTTGGTTCATTCTGCTTACGACCAGCTCAGTAATAAGCTGTTTGTCTTCAACCTGATGCTCACCAATCAAAGGCATGGCACAATCCATAACCTAGAAGAAACAAAAGCTGATTAGGCAGTGAAATATCATTTTAGTGATTTGTTTATGCTGTGTTACAGTCCATTATTGTTATCCATATTGTGCTGTGGATGACTGTAAATAAATCGAGTATTTCCATATATGCTGTGAGCCACCCAGAGTGGCTGGGGAAACCCAGCCAGATGGGCAGGGTATTATTACTATTATTATTATTACTATTATTATTATTATTATAAAATTTTAAAATTCTCTATGTCCAAATCTCAGTTTTCTTCATCAGGAAAGGTGAGGAGATTTGTGGAAGTCACTCAATTTTTAATTTGTAACTTGGGAAGGAAACTAAGCCAAAGTATAATTTTAAAAAGTATCTTTCAAGAAAAACTGGATGGGTGATTTCAACTGGTCCTTGGGAGAATATGTGGTATGGCTCCTTGATGTGGTATGGTTGTGATATGATGTGGCATCAGACAATGTAAGTCTGTCCTTGACTATGTGGACACACTGAACACTGAGAAATCTCCAGCAACAGCACCTGCTCTTTTTGTGTGTGGCTATGTAGGGCATTAGAAGCAGCCGCATGCTCACAACTTCTGCTCCCTAGCCAAAGGGAACATTATTTATTTAATAAAGCGAAAGTACTGGGTAGGGGAGTGGACCCGGAATGCTTACTGGAATACTCAAGACTTATGGCCCTGGGGGTCGAAAATGTCATAGAGAAACTGGATCAGAAGAACAGTTCCAGATCTCCTCAGTAACTGGCCCAGGCTGTTAACAGTCCAGCTTGGTGTGCATCAAGCACAATGTCCCAGGAACAGTTACAGCACAGTGGATGAACAATAGTGTTACGTAAAGGAGTATGTACAGAAGTGTGTGGGTTAGAGCTAAAGTTCAGAATTATGACATTTCCCCACCATCCTAATACTCTTCTGACCACAGCAGAACTACCCTATGTATTTAAATAAAAGATCAAGACACTGTAATAAATTTCAGCAGACCAGCAATTATCCATAATGATCCTGCCTGGCTTTTACAGGCTAAAATTTCCACATCTCCTTCTGAGGATAGTAAGATAATAATTCCTCCAACTTAATAAATCCCTAATAACAACAGTAATGAACTACTTAATTGATTTTTTTTTAATGGTGAACAAATGGGCAAGGGGTATCAGCTGTTCTGATCACCATTATTATTTTTGCTATTGCTGCCCCACAACTACTCTTGAAGTTATCCATGCCAACAAAAGCTTTGATGCCAAACAATAAAGCTAGGATTATGTAACTAGTCTGCTAGCAAGTTTAATGGTTTCTAAAATTATCATTTGAACAGTCAAGTATTATCTTCTATACCTCATTTGGATATAATTGCAGCTTCACCATTTCTATAAAACATTCCCTGGAAGAAAAAGTTTATTTTTGTTGTAGTTTTCATTAGAAGTTTATTATTAAAGTTCATCTGAAAGAATGACCCTTGAACTGGTTTGTTTTTATCTTTATAGCTTGGGACCCCGTATACCTACCTTTACAAAATTATTAGAATAGATTCAGATTATTATTTTTCTCTCACTTTTTAAAAGAGCCATAAATCATAATACAAGGGAGAGTTAAGCATGGGTTTAGGTGAACCTAATTTGGCAAGAGATTATGGCCACTGGACAATTGGATGGAATCATCTGGGTCTAGTGTAATAATATGTTACACCCCCCCCCATAAATGATATATAACAAAATATCAACCTAAAATGTTGGTGTGTGTTTTCTTTTAAAGAAACAGTATTAGCTGCTAATTTGTGTTGTTTTTGAAACCATATTAAGTTGTTTTTGTACTGCTTTTAAATCTACTTATGGTAGTTTTTATTGCATGCTTGTAAATTGCCTTGAGACTTGTGTAAAAGATAGTTTGCAAAATAATAATAATAAGCCTGAAGCTGCAATCTTGTACACAAATACTTGAGGGTAAGTCTACTTGGAAGAAAGTATGACTGAACCTCATTGAGCTCACTTTTGAGTAGACAAATAAAGAAATGCACTGTTAAAGTACAAAAAATTAAAAATTCTGGGCAGACAGAAAGGGTTAAGTAACATGTCATATGATTAGGAGACCAGAACCAGAAAAAGAAATGAAGGGGACAACAGCACATGCTGTTGGCCTGCAAATGAAAAACATGCTGAATCTCCCTATAGCAAACAATTCACATGGCACTTATGAGCTAGAGAAAACAATTGTGCATGGTTATTACAGAAAGCAGACAAGAAGTGGCAATATATATTAATCATCTAAATCAGAGTGAGGTGAATCTGTGACTCTCTAGAATTTGCTGGGTCTCAACTGCCACCATCCATGTCCAATTTCCATGCTGGCTTGAGATGATGGGAACTGGTGTCCAGTAACATCTAGAGCACCACAGATTCCTTCTCCCTTATCTACACTGGTCTTTCTCTTAACCTGCGTTTTCATGGTGAAATTTAAAAACCTACTCAACAATGTTGTTACAGAGAAAAAGTGATTTTAAGATGGAGCCTACTGTTTATGGGAATGAACAACCCCATGCAAAGTAGGTCATTGACCAATTGTTTAGATTAAGGAACCCACCAAGCAAAGTCAGGAGTGAGTCAGGATATTGGCCCTTATCCAGCCCACCACCAAGTCTAGGCATAGGAGAGGCTTGCACAGCTTCTCTTAATTCATACATTATAGAGAAATAAAGCTGGGTATCATCAGCAAACTCAGTTTGCTGATGATACCTCACCAAAAACTCCCAATAACCACTCCCAGTGGCTTCATGTAGATGTTAAATAGCACTAGGGACAGGACTGTATCCTGTGACAGCCCACCCCATGACACCCAGGGGCTCTGAGACAATAATCCAATGCTATCCAATGAAACCAATCCTGGAGGGAGACCTGGAGGGAAAACAGTGTCCGTTTCCCATTTCCACAGAGCTGGTAAACGAAGATCTCATGGTCAATGACATTAAAAGCTGTTGAGAGATTAAGTAATAATAATATGGTCACTCTCCCCTGTCCTCTTGATCAGGGTGACCAAGGTTGATTAGGGAAGTTTTTAACATTTAATGCTGTATTGTTTTTAACACTCGATTGGGAGCTGCCCAGAGTGGCTGGGGAAACTCAGCCAGATGGGCAGGGTATAAATAATAAATCATCATCATCATCATCATCATTATTAACAAAGCCTGAACCCTGACTGTGATGAGCCTTAAGACTATGTAAATCACATTATTAAAATAAAAGCTTGGACACTAAGAACTGCTAGCAACATTCTGCTGAAGGAATATGGCTTTCCTGACCTCTTGTTCCTGCTACAGCCCAAGTGCCTCATTGAAAAAACTGATCCTAAGAGTTGGGAGAGCCTTGGGAATGGCGTGCAGCACCGGGAGGAGACCTGTGAAAATCTACTCATGTGAGTAAAGTGTCCTTCTGCTCCCACTAGAAAACTTTGGACCAAAGCCAAAGTCTGCATCCTTGGGCAGATGGACTTACCAAACTTCGAAATCATCCTAGTCTGTTTGCTAAGTAATCCAAAGTGGTGTGTGCTTTGCATGAATTAAAGAGCATTTGTGGAATCTTTAGGAGCAGAGATTTTCCTTATTATCTTACAGCAACAGCAGCAGCAGCAACAACAACAAAAACAGTGTTGGCAGAGGAAAAGCATATACCACACCTCAAAAATATAATCCTTCCCATCCTTGCCGTGAACTGCTTTGACAGCGCATATGTCCAAACCTCCAAACATCTCTGAACAGCTGTCAATCCAAAGCTTGTACCTGGAATGTGAAAAGAAGCTCACTTTAGCCAAAAGCATGATCTTGTCACAACAGTGATCTAGCTATATTAGTTTGAATTTAGATTGTAACCATGCCTTGGTGCTAATACAAATCATCACCACATTAGCTCTTATATAACATTCTCCAAATATTTCTGATGATCAAATTGCTCATTAAGGGAGATTGTTGCATAAGAGAACCAGATCTGAGACACTCATCTAATATTTTGTGCTTCTGAGTTGCCCTCACCCTGGCAACTTCACTTATCCTAATGCCCTCAGTTCAGTGTCAGGCTTTCTTTTAATGGGACTGTAACATAAAGCATTATATTCCAAGCCATAAAAGTACAACATGTGCAAACAGCAAAGCCTGGTCATTTCTAACATATCAGCACACGAAGCCATAATTAGCACTGACTGAAGGTCCCTGGTGCATGTACATGTGGTCAAACAGGCGTTTGCCACTGTGTAACATGGTAAGCAGCCTGAAAATTGGTTGTGATGCTAAACCTGCTTGATTGGAAGTCAGACTTACCCAAACCAACGCGATGTGCTTTGAATTGAATACCCTTAAAGGACAGACAAAGAAGTGTCCGCCAGATGTTCTTGGACAATTGCTCTCATCAGACTCAGTCAACATGGCCAATGGTCAAGGATTATGGAACGGTTGTTCAACAACATCTGTAGAGCACCACATTGGTTATCCTGCTATCTATCATTGTTACTAATTGAAATCTGCTCTAGTAGAATGGTTTCTCTTTAAATAAAAAAAGCTAAGCACAGACATTTGCAAAAATGGTCTGAACTATTATTGATGAAATCTTGTGGAATGAAAGGAGTGGCTTATTTCTTGTATGACTTCATTTCTGAAGTTGTTTCTTGGATGCATGTCAAATTCAACATCTGTAGAAGTGCTGACCGTCATAATTGGCTTTATTTGTTTATAAGCCATTCTTGCTGTAAAGTGCTATAGTCTCTTGAATCTAGGAGAAGTGTTGTTTCTTTTAATGGTAAATCTGGAGAAAAACCAAACCAAACAAAGGAACCTTATTTTGAAAGGCTATTCCTATGAAACCAAAGAAACACTCAGAAGATCTTATTGAAGTCAGTTTTCATATACAATGCATAAAGCTGAAAAAACAGCCACACATGGAAACAAATATTGAGAACGGAAGGCTTGCCTTGAGCCTAAAGGCTGCTCAGTAAAAACATGTATGCATAGTGTTGTTGTTTTTAGGCATGTGACAGATGCAATCTAATGCAGATCCAAAGCATACAATTTCTAACATACACCAAAGGGGCCACTTCCAATTTTTGCCACTTTGGCAAAAGGGTACTTCTCCTTTGTTCTCACACTCTAGGGCCAAACTACAGTTTATAATTGTCCTGGTGGTGGTGGAAAGCAGCTGGTGGGCGGCGGGAATGAAGTTGAGAGAAGAAACGGCTGGGGAGAACGGGATTCAACAGTCTCTTCTCCTGCATTTCAGTTAAATATATATATAGGGAAACCATTCCATACATCTTCTTTGTAACATCTAGTTTGGCCCTCTAAAAGGGGTAGGAATAAATTGGTCAACATTTCCCATAATAAACCTTCAAGATGTGGAATCATAATCTTCTCACTTTACTGTTTTCTGGAAGCTATGCCTTTTTCCACCTTTCAGGATATGATGTGCATCTCACTTATGTTTGTCATCTCAACAATTGCAATTGACTAGGTTATAGCTTACAAGCTCAGATATGAAATTTTAAAGCTTGCTTCAATAAAGTCATGCATGAAAACTCTTGTTTTTGGCCTTGGAGCATAGAACACCTACTGTTATAAGCTGTTAACATGAACTAGCTGTTCTAAATGTTTGGGTTTCTTCTTTTCAAAGCTGATAATCTAGTATCTTGAAGTCCTGAAACATTGTGACCTGAATAGGACCCCCGCCAAGAGCTTAACAGCAGAATTTTCAACCCTCTCTGCAGAAGATCTCAAAAGGCAGACTTATGTGCACATAGCTTATACACATGAATGTCAGGAAGGCCAGCAGGACACATGAAGTTGAGACTCGTTCCATTACCCTCTTTCTCCACCCATGCATTGTATGTGTAGAGAATGACTGAAGAGTGCCGAGGTGAATGGAGTGGGGGAAAACATTAACATTATTGGTATCAAGTTGATGTTGATTTTAAACAGTTTATCAGTGTTTTAAAAAAGAATTTTTCAGTGTTTTCCATGCAAGTAAGAAGATAAATGTCAATGGAAAGCAAAAGCTGAAAGAGAAGGATAGAAGCTCTTGGATAATGAATTCTCAGAGAATCTATTAAAGGGCTAGTTTCTCCCTTAAATGTCTGCTCTCCATCCACTCAAACTTTGAGCAGATGCAATGTTAGCAAAAGTATGCTGGTGCTGCACATACAACAACCACAACACTTCTAATAATTTCAGCTGTATTCCTATTATTATTATTATTATTATTATTATTATTATTATTATTATTCCAATTAGGCACATCCATGATTTCTTATTGCATCAAGACTCATCTACCTATCTGACATGGCAATTTGTTCCAACATTGCAGATCCAGTGTTTGTCTTCCAGTTTCCAGATATTGAAGTTCTCCTGTGGAGAAATATAAAAGTTTTAGCAAGCAGCACACCAACCTCTTTGTTCTTATCATTAGCTTATTAATTGCTAACTTTTGGTTGTTTTTTTTAAAAAAAGAAATAGCATGCCAAGGAACTTCCAAAAAGATTAAAATGAAACAAACATTATATTCAACTACCTCCCCAAATAAATAAATGCATTTAAATCTGATGTGTACAGGAAAGAAGACACTCATGAAAACAAATGCTATTTGTGTACTGAACCAACCCATAGCTATCTTTCCTGGCTCAGATAAGTTATATTTTTTTAAAAAGAATGAAATTATGAATTTGAACTTAGTGCAGCTGTGCTAAAAGTGAGAACTTCTCTGCTGTATGCAGAATAGTAACATGGGCTTGACCCATAATTTGTGTTCTGTAACAATAATTATGTGACTTCATACAGAGGTTTACTATTCATCATCACGCTGTGAGGTCTGAATCTATAGAACAGATTATAATTTAGAACAGTGTGTTTTTTCCGTATTAATACATAAATTTATGCCTTTAGTATATTGGTTTTGGAGAAAGACAAGGTAATGTGAGAAAATCCAACATGAGTGCAATTTTGTTCCTGCTGTGTTTGTTTCCTTTTCACCCCATGGTGTTTCCTTGAAACAGCGATGCATTTATATTCATATCCATATGTAGGAATCTCTAAATATTTGCAGGAGTTGTGGTATTTGGATTGACTCCATACTATATCTTAGTTATCTGATAACTGGCATATAATAGTCACCTATAATGCGAGTTCTCTACCTACTACAACATAACACTACAGAAGATTACAACAGTAGAGATTTAGATAGTAGATTTAAAACTCTAAAATAGCTTATATTTCCTGCGGTGGCCCTTCAATATTCTGTGCTTGTGTTAAAAGCACACTCACGAATGAAAACCAGCTGTAGAATATCAAGCTATTGACTAAATATATCTGAACATGTGAAGTGTAATAAAAGTTTCATGCTGATCTAGAGTAAATGGACCAAGTTCATTTTTAACTGTGATTAAACTGTGAAAGTCAAAGGAAATTGTCTCTAAGGGCTCATCCTCACTGCTGCTTGCCCCATGCTTAGAAAGCACAGGTCCAAGAGATTTCCCACTTGTCCCATACTTCTGAGGCATTTCTGATTCAGCAATAAAGATTGGGTTTCCCTGGGGGGAAGTGGAAGTTTGGACGAACCCTCAGTTTGTAATATTCTGCTAGACACCCCCCTTCCCTTGATAAATTATAACTGAAAATAATGTACAAGTATGAAATGGAAAAACTAACTACACAACAAGTTCTCACAAAAATATGTTTAAATCTAACATTGTATTGGAGGCCATGGTTTGTGAACAGTGACAATATTGCTGTAGAACATGAACAATTTTAACAGTGGGTATATTGTTTAGAAGAAAAAAACATTATATGGTCCTAAGAACCATCATTTTTTTATTACTATATGGTATTATTGGCTCTTGATCCATTTCTGAGCACAATTGAAAGTGCTGGTATTAACCTTAAAAATCCCACACAGCTTAGACATTGGCCGCTAAAGGGCAACCTATTCCCATGTGAGTTCTTCTGAACTTCTGAGAGCATCTTCAGAGGTTCTTCTATACGTACCCTTGCGTTTTGAGGAGAGGTCAGTTGCACCCAATCCCTGGAAAGTTTCCAATAAAATGGCAATGACTGTTATGTCTTTTGTTGCTATTCTTGTTTTAACCTGGATTGAATCTCCCTGCTCCACTTGCAACTCACACAAGATCCCAAAGCTACATTTACACAAGCCATATTGGCCTGATTTGCGTATCATAATAAACCAAATGATGGTCGTATGCCCTAAGCCCAGGCTCTGTGCAAGCGAATCACAGCCACTTTGCTCCTCTGCTGCTGTGCTGAGATATGCCAGATTTTGGCTTAAATGCGACATCCGAGACCAGGCTTATGGTTTAACTCTCCAGAGTAACCTTGAGCTCTAACAAAGGTTTGTGCTCTCGTTTACGTACTGTGATTTGTTCAGGAGATCTAAACCATGGCTCCAGGTTCACATGTCATGCTAAGTCAAAGCATGTCTTACTGCAGTGCAGCAGATGATTGACCAGAGAGGGACAAAGTAGCCATGATCTCCTTTAAAGGAGCCTGCATGTCCACATCAAGCCATGGTCTGGCTTACTGTGACATGAGAACCGGACAACTGTGTTCCACATCTGCTGCATAATATTATAAGGATAAGGCATGGAAGCAGATATAATTAAAAAGTAGCAGCAGGGCTGTAGAATTTCAGGGCACTTATTAGTGGAGGAGAAATTCTTATCAATGTTCTTAATGCTTTTGTATCCAGCTACTCTTACAAGGATCCAGAGCTAGGAAATTCTTCTCTTCCCACGGCTTCCTACTTGCTCCTCTTTGTGTTTGGACAGGGTGAGTGAGCTTCTTCCTCCCTATTTCAACCAAACATTCTAAAACATGTTGCAAAAATAACATGGATGTCTAAAATGATCACTATGAACGGTAGTGGAATCAAAAAGTGAGACGAACGGCGTTTACAAATGTGCATCAAAGCTGCGCTACAGAAGAAGGATGAGGCGAGTCAAGTTCAGCTGGGCTAACAGACATGACAGAACTATTCAATGCACTTAGGAACTTGCTGAAATGAAAACAAGCAATAAAACAGAAATGGGAAACAAACTGAATTATGTAGTCATTGCAGCTAAGACAACGAATACAATAAAAGCATTGAGAACCGAATTGACTGCCTGCACTAAACAGACTGTGGAAATAGAGCATTTGATTTATTCCACAACGTGTTACTATATAATAGAAAGAGACTGTAAAGTGTGGAATGAAATGAAATGGTAGGGTCCAAATGGAATGACAGTAATGGGTACACACTCAAGATCATTTAATGTAGATTAGTTACTCCTTCAGTATCCTTTAACAACTCTCTCAAGGTCTATATACAATAAAGACCTTGTTCCAAAGTTCACAGGAAATATAATCTTTATGACGCTGCTTCATTTTCAATTATCCTGCTACAGGAAACAAGCCCATCTAAACATACACATTAGCCTTGTAGCCCCTGCCTTGCCATATAAATTCTCAGGGGCAGCAGGGAGCTTCCAATTTATGCAGTTCACTGCGTCTACAGGAGTTTTGCATACAAGGAAATTACCCTTATCCCACCTGCTGGCAGGGAGGATAACCTGCTGGATCCCATCATAACTCTCTCAGATTTCCTGGGCAGAAAAGCCAATTCGGGCAAAATTCAGCAACAAACCTAAATGGGACATCTTCCGGGTTTGACCCAACTATGGCAGCGACTGTGGCCGCTCTGGATGTTGTTGGACTTAAAACTCCATTAGCCTCAGTTCCATGCTCAATGGTCAACAATCAGGGGAGCTGTAGTCCAGAAACATCTAAAGAACCACAGGTTTCCCATGGATCAATTTTTGTATCTATATTCTCTCACAATAATAAGATTTCTGAAGGAAGCTTTTCTGAAAACCTGAGTTTTTACAAGAAAAGCATGGTGTTTCGTAAATGAATCTGGCTATGGAAAAGTGGGCGGAGCAAGGAGAGGCAGGACAAGTGGGTGAAGACTCTGGTAAGGGCTAAGCCTTGCTTAGACTGTTGCTACTCCCCTGATTTTTATTAATATGACTTGACTGTTGCAATTTTCATTGGTAATGTGTGATAAAGAATGTTATATACTGGAATATCTGCCTCCATTCTTGGCTACAAGATGGTCTGCCCCACTCCCTTGTCTCAGAAGATCTCCTCAATGGGAGCTTCTGTTGGCAACTGGCAACTGCCAGCTAGGGAAGATTTGCCTTTCTCGAGAGCTGAGCAAGTTCCTGTTAATTGGCATCATTCTCTTGCCTTGTTAATCCTGAGTGGGCTCTGCCCTCTGTTAGGCAGTGGCCAAAGTGTGTCACCAAAGATGAGAGTAGGAAATGCTGCCTGAATAAACCTGGCACTATATCAACGTCAGGTTATTTCTGTTCCTGAAACTATTCCTGAATGTACCCTATATAGTATCGTGAGACTCTTTTGCAAGCCGTTCTGACAGCTTCTTGGGGCTGGGGAAAGGGACATAATATTCTAAATGATTCAGTAGCTACCTAAATTTAACTAAAGGTTAAAGGTTAAATAAAGGTGTGTCCCGTCCCGTACCCCCCCCCCCGATTGGCCCTGGCTACTTCCTGAAGAGGACCTAACCTTTTGCTGCCTGCTCTACACTTATGCAGACCCTAACCAACAAAATACAGGCATCCCCCCACTTACATGCAGGCTACGCTCCAGAACCTTCACACATAAGTGAAATTGTGTCCCGCCTGTCCCGAGCTGGCCTGCTTCCCTGAAGGGAGCCAGTGCGTCTGACGGTAGCAGCTGGCCATGGAGGGCGAGGGCTGAGAAGGATGCCCAGCGGAACCGCTGCCAGATGGGGTGTGTGGATGCACAGTGGAGGCGGGGGAAGGCACCTCCCGCCCGGCTGGCTTAACTGAAAGCCGCCTTTCCTCGCTCAGGCAGCATCCCCAAGCGAGGGAAGACCAGTCCATTTATTTATTTACATTTCACGGTGGCCTGTGCAAACGTGGTTGCACAAAAATCGGATGTTCGTAAGTGGGGGGTGGGGTACCTATATTGTGACACCTAAAAGGCTAATGATATTTGTTATGGTGTTGTCACATAACCTGCAACCCTTACATTACCCTTTTTAAACATGCATATATATATATATATATATATATATATATATATGACAACTACAACAACTGAGAATCACTTATTATGCCTCTAATGAAATGGGCTTTCATCATGTCCTAATAAAATCTGTTTCCTTTCATCCTGAGTATTATTTTTATGATTATTTAATAATGCATATACCATCTAGTGCCGAAATAGGTTTCCAAACGTTCTACAAGTATATAAACCGGTTACAAGCAGCCATAATTAAAATACTCAATAAAAAAATCCCATTAAAACACACAGTAATGAAAGCTGGAGACTTGGGCTGGGAGATCAAGGGAATGCCTGTGTAAACAGGTATGTCTTCAAAAGCCAGCAGAATGCCAATGGGGACAGCCCTTCTCCTATTACAGCAGGGAGTGCATTCTATAACACCAGTGCCATCAGTGGGAAAACACAGTGGGATGACACTTTTGTGTCATCACAAGCCAATAACAACTAGGCACTAATCGATAGGTATTCAGTAGAGAAACTTATAAAACACCTACAAACCACGTGCTTGGAAATTGCTTTTACACTGGCTAAAGACAAAAATAAGAGCGATGGACTGAATTTATGAGTTATGTTCCCTAAATCACTTGGCAGTGGGTCATTTTGTAAAAAATATATTATGCAACATCACCTTATACAAAGCAGAGAATTAGACACATTGCCTTTGGATTAACAAGGAGTTATGCATAGTCTTGCAGAGTTTTTCATCAACAGCCTGGTTCAGTGTCAGTCTAACTTCTTACATATTTGGTTTGCCTTATGGCAAGTAATTTGAGAATTATACATTATAATTTTCAGAACAGATAACTGTTCTGGGTAACCTTTCAATGTGATTCACAGATAATAATTTGCTTGTGTGTTCACAAGGGAAAAATCTTGAAAAGAGAGTTGCCCCCCCCCCTTAGGATTTTGTGATTATTTTGAAATATGGAAAATAACTCTAGGGCAATTTCCAGTGGATGTTTCTGCAAGCTATCCCTGTCTTTTAATTTTTTTGTGTAGAATCTCTCTGTTTTGTTTTTATGTTCAGGAATTATATTATGTTTTGTTTGCATTCCACTGCACATCACTTTAAAAGATGAATTATTCTAATCTGAATTTCTGAATTTCTTAATATCCTTTTTTAAAGCATCCCCATTTTTTTACTCACTGATTCACAGTATTACTGATGCACTGTAGATTCCACACTGGGATAATGGTGAACTTTCATGCAAGGCCATAAAGTCTGGTTGTTACCTGCTTTACAGCTGATGGAACTGAAAATGAAAAAAACAACAGAATGTTTGCTCACATGTATGCTTTGTAGTTGTTGCCTATCTTTTGGATCCTGATGTCATATTTGGAGTCTATGTAGGGTTCAGTAGTGGCATAGGTCTGAGTGAGTGCTACGACACTGGCTATATCCTGAAAATCATAGTGGTTGTCTACCTTGACCTGTTATTAGCCATAGATTTATAGCACGGGGAGACAAAAAGAATAAGATTAGAACTGTTAGGTTTACTTATACAGAAAACTCTACTTCTTGAACTTACTTAACAAGTTTATATTATTTTTTGCTAAACATTTCCCCTTAAACTTAGTGAAATTTAACATGCAAATGTACAAAACATATCAAAATTCAGTGCCCACCCCCCATATTTATTCCCAGGACAGAAAATGATGTTTGGAAAATGCCCAGATTTCAGTGGATTCCTTGAAATCAGTTCTGTATATTGCTGTTCATTGTCACCCACTCAACCCCAACCTTAAATGGTGTCCCTGCAAAGCAAGCATCTTTATATGAGGGACAACCACACTTCTATACAACAAGGAAATAAGTTGAGACAGAGAATGACATCATTGAACATCCCTACTTATTATTGATTTATTCATTTATATAAATATCTACAACACATTTCCCCCCTCATATGTCTTTATGCAGACAATTAATTTCTAGCAATGCTTTATTGTAAAACTGACCCAGCAGTATCAATGAAGGGTACAGAAGCACATATTTACAGACCATCTGAAAATACAATAAAGAATTAGGACCTCTCTATAAGGAAACAAATGGTGGTATTTAGGACAGTTGGCAATGTTTCAAATTCAAGAATAAAATATTTTAAAAACGGAATGGTATGAAAGTAGATTGATTCAAAGAATTATATTATCGTCTTACATCTAAAATTTACATCTAAAATTTTACATATAAAATATCGATTTCTCCAGCTTACTTTCCCTTCAACAATAGAATACAATGAAGTCTTTCATTATGCACTTTAGTAGAACTCAGCATAGAAGAGATGAGATTTCAAATTCTTTTGTGGAAGATGTTTGGATATAGACTTGAAAATGGAACAAAAGCAAATGTAAAATGCTTGTTCTTCTCTAAATGTTAAAAGGTTAGGTTTAGAAGGATGTTTAATCAGTATAGTACACTATCTTAGTTCATCAGAGTATATTCTAATCCAATTAAGTGAGAGAGCTTGGATTTCACTAAATCAGTTAGCTTCTCTTTAAAAGGTTCAATAGACTAGTGCCAAGATCTTTTGTCACTTGTGACGCCACCTCCCATAGTAAATACTTCACTCTGAGGGATGTGTACATATTTGATTGAAGAAGTTGGCCTTTAGAATGGAAAATGCTGAGTAGATAGTGAACGCCAGATGTAAAAATATGATACTGAAAAGTCAGGCTGTGTGGGAGTGGGTGACTAATAAAATGAAGAGAGTAGCTCATGTACTAGTTTTAGGGCTTATAATACTCAAATAATAGATTTTACAAAATCAGAAACTTCTCCATCTTTGATTAAAACCTGAGCCAAAGAAGAATTATTGTCCAAGTCCTTTATCACCCACCCACTTCAATCCCAAATACCTGCCTTTCTTTTCATTTAAACCACCTGAATAGTATCTCTAGCAGCAGCAAACAGCTGGGGGCAGGGGCGGGGAGAGAAAGTCAGAAAATCTGTCCCTCCCTCCTGTCTTTGGCATCTGGTATGTTGCTTGAGTGGCCCCATCCCCTGGGAATTTAGTTTTTTTCAAAGGCTACTACAATATCTGTAGGCTGTGTGGGAGTGTGTGACTAATAAAATGAAAAAAGTAGCTCATGTACTAATTTTAGGGCATATTTAGGGGCCTTGTGTCCTCTTGCCAGAGAAGGGATGGAGCACGTCCCCCTTTTCCTCTTCCTGAAGCTGTTTGGTGCTGGCTAGACTTCCAGCCAGGTAAGTGGGGTTTAAATGGAAGGACACAGGAGGTGAAGGACTAGGTAAACAGGATGGAAGAGGTAGTGATTGAATGGATGGGAGGGTGTAAGCCCAGTTCATTATAAAACTATTAAAAGGTTAAATAATATAAAACAGAGGACAAATATCACGGGTGCACAGTATTTCTGGCATAGGTAATTTGTCAATTTTTAGTTAAGAATAGTTCTTACTCTTTGAAGCATCTTTCAATTTGAAAAGCACCGACTTTTACAAGAGGATTATATGCTCAGGGGATTTATGCATATGCATAAAATTAAGCAAATACATACGGATGGACTTCTAAGCATGGGCCTCAAAATGGATTTGCATAATTACTGCCCTGAAGTTTTAGCTGCTTCCATTATAGAATTTGGTGCCTGCAGTGTTTACATAGCATTTTCTTTTAAAAAAAAAGTAGTTCCACCATTTCCCCTCAAGATAGATAAATAGCACCTGCACCTTTCCCATGCCCGAATGAGCGTGTCCAATCTTCACAACAACAGGAAATGTTGGCAATGTCAGCTGAGGGCAAGAAAGAAAGAAACACAAGTTTAAAAACGGTTGCTTAATCAATGAACATTTCATTATCAAGGTCATATTTCTCTGTTATAAAGGATTCATTAGAAGGCTTGGCAGATGGGATTCAGCTTGTCTTGAATGTCTGTATATGGCAAATTGGTACAGGCAGGCTGTCCTCATTACTATGGTGCAGGGCTCTCACACTTGCCTTTTGTTTTATATCATGCAAGGAATATATTGTCTTCCAGGCCATAATTTCTCTCTCCTTAACATAAAAGCACCGAGTTCAGATATTTCTTAAAACTTTGTCTCAGACAATGGTTTGGGTTTTTTTAACAGGTCCTTGCTGCAGAATAATAATTTATCCATAAGATGTACAGTACATTTTCCCAACATGTACATGGCCTTCTCTAGCAGAAAGTACAAGAAGGACCAAGCCATTCCCTGATAATAAAAGGGATGACATATTTATTTACTTAATACATTTTTAACTTGTTCTTCAATTAGTAAATTCTTAAGTGTGTAGCAATTATAAAACAAAGCCATCAATCAATTCCCACTTGCAGCAGCCTCCTGAGACCCTGAGAGAGGGCAGAAGACTGGAGCTCCTTCCTTCCATTGTGATGATGGCAGTTCACGACAGCATTTTCTAGTGCCTGTGGTTAGTGGGGAGTTCTTGGATTGGTGGCCCCCGGCCAGTTCCCAATATTGTTGCTTGCTGTCACACAGCCTGTGTACTATTCTGTTTTCAAAAGACTTACTTGTTTATATTTTTAATCAACAATTAAATTGCATTCTGGTATGAACTGCATACTTGTCCACAAACAAGAGATACAATTAAACAATTCTATTTATTAGGTTCCACAAAATGCAATCAAAATGGCTGTCATAGCATAACACAACATGGCTGCTGTGGAAGACATGGCAAAACAAAAAATTAGCAACAGGCACCCCCTGATTGTGTGCGTTGGCCTCATTCAGCCGTCTTCTGGGGCAAAAAAACAGAATGGTCCACATGTGCTTTGAATGCACCCAAAATGGTCCCTGTACAGTCATTGTTTAGTTTTTGGCTTCTTGTCTGCAGGTGCCCTCATCTTACCATAGGAACTCACCTATGTCCTGCTGGTCCTGATTGTGCAGATTATACAGCTGTTAAAAGGTGCAAGAGCCCTGCTTTTCCCACTGCTAATGCTAAACCAAAGCATAGGCTGCCATCCTGTACCTTCCTAGCTTGGAATAAGCCCCATTAAACACAAAGAAACTTCTGAAATAAGACATATATAGCAATGTAAAAAAAAAAGCAGAGACATCACCTTGCCAACAAAGGTCCATATAGTTAAATCTATGGTTTTCCCAGTAGTAATGTATGGAAGTGAGAGCTGGACCATAAAGAAGGCTGATCGCCAAAGAATTGATCCATTTGGATCCCTTCCAGTCGGGATTCAGGCCTCATCATGGGACTGAAACTGCCTTGGTCGCACTGGTTGATGATCTCCGGCGGGCTAGGGACAAAGATGAGAGCTGTTTCCTAGTTCTGCTGGATCTCTCAGCGGCGTTTGATACCATCGACCATAACATCCTTCTGGACCGTCTTGAGGGGCTGGGAGCTGGGGGCACTGTCATACAGTGGTTCCGCTCCTTCCTCCTGGGCCGTGTTCAGAAAGTGGTGGTGGGGGATGAGTGTTCAGACGCCTGGGCCCTCATTGTGGGGTGCCTCAGGGTTCTGTCCTCTCCCCCAGGCTTTTCAACATCTACATGCAGCCGCTGGGAGAGATCATCAGGGGATTTGGGCTGGGTGTTCACCAGTATGCGGATGATACCCAGCCCTACCTCTCTTTCAAATCAGGACCAGTGAAGGCAGTGAAGGTCCTGTGTGAGTGCCTGGAGGCGGTTGGAGGTTGGATGGCGGCTAACAGATTGAGGTTGAATCCTGACAAGACAGAAGTACTGTTTTGGGGGGACAGGAGGCGGGCAGGTGTGGAGGATTCCCTGGTCCTGAATGGGGTAACTGTGCCCCTGAAGGACCAGGTGCGCAGCCTGGGAGTCATTTTGGACTCACAGCTGTCAATGGAGGCACAGGTCAAATCTGTGTCCAGGGCAGCTGTTTACCAGCTCCATCTGGTACGCAGGCTGAGACCCTATCTGCCTGCGGACTGCCGCGCCAGAGTGGTGCATGCTCTGGTTATCTCCCGCTTGGATTACTGCAATGAGCTCTACGTGGGGCTACCTTTGAAGGTGACCCGGAAACTACAACTAATCCAGAACGCGGCAGCTAGACTGGTGACTGGGAGCGGCCGCAGAGACCACATAACACCGGTCTTGAAAGACCTACATTGGCTCCCAGTACGTTTCTGAGCACAATTCAAAGTGTTGGTGCTGACCTTTAAAGCCCTAAACAGCCTTTGTCCAGTATATCTGAAGGAGCGTCTCCACCCCCATCGTTCTACCCGGACACTGAGGTCCAGCACCAAGGGCCTTCTGGCCGTTCCCTCACTGCGAGAAGCCAAGTTACAGGGAACCAGGCAGAGGGCCTTCTTGGTAGTGGCGCCTTCCCTGTGGAACACCCTCCCACCAGATGTCAAAGAGAACAACAACTACCAGGCTTTTAGAAGACATCTGAAGGCAGCCCTGTTTCAGGAAGCTTTTAATGTTTGATGTATTATAGTATTTTAATATTCTTTTGGAAGCCGCCCAGAGTGGCTGGGGTATAAATAATAAATTATTATTATTATTATTATTATTATTATTATTCTGAAGGAGACTCTTGAGAGTCCCATGGACTGCAAGAAGATCAAACGTATCCATTCTTAAGGAAATCAGCCCTGAGTGCTCACTGGAAGGACAGATCCTGAAGCTGAGACTCCAATACTTTGGCCACCTCATGAGAAGAGAAGACTCCCTAGAAAAGACCCTGATGTTGGGAAAGATTGAGGGCACAAGGAGAAGGGGACGACAGAGGACGAGATGGTTGGATAGTGTTCTCGAAGCTACCAGCATAAGTTTGACCAAACTGCGGGAGGCAGTGCAAGACAGGAGTGCCTGGCGTGCTCTGGTCCATGGGGTCACGAAGAGTCGGACACGACTAAACAACTAAACAACAACAACAAAGCAATGTACAGGTAAAGTAAAGGACCCCTGACAGTTAAGTCCAGTCATGAACGACTCTGGGGTTGCGCCGCTCATACTGGCCAAGGGAGCCGACGTTTGTCCACAGATAATTTTTCCAGGTTATGTGGCCAGCATGACTAAACCATTTCTGGCGAAACCAGAGCAGTTCTCGAAAACGCCGTTTACCTTCCATCTGGAGGGGTACCTATTTATCTACATGCATTTTGACATGCTTTTGAACTGCTAGGTTGGCAGGAGCTGAGACTGAGCAACGGGAGCTCACCACGCCGCAGGAATTCAAACCGCCGACCTTCCGATCGGCAAGCCCTAGGCTCAGTGGTTTAGACCACAGCGCCACCCGTGTCCCTATATAGCAATGTACTGTCAGCTAATTATACAGTGCATTTTTCATGAAGACCTAGACACCAGCTTTACACAGCAGGAGGCATACCTCCTTTGCAAACTTTTCACATTTGCATTTGCCAATTGGGATGGGGATTTTTTTTTTAACACCCACCCACCCTTATTCTGTAGTAGCCTTTGCAGACAATGACCTCTAGGGAGTACCTAATCTCAGAAGAATCCCCCACAGGAAAGCTGCATCCTGGTTGCTAGGAAAAATGGAAGTGCAAAATATGGAGATTCCAAGGACTACTAGAAAATAAAACAGAAACAGGAAAGGTGTACTAAAGGGGAGGGTAAAGCAACAGCTCTTTAGGACTCCAGGGATTCCTCTTGACTGGTGTCCAAACAACTCACTTTATCAGGAGTAGCTCTAATTTCACACATTGGCTAAAAACACAGACAGGTAAAGGTAAAGGTACCCCTGCCCTTACAGGCCAGTCGTGTCTGACTCTAGGGTTGCGCGCTCATCTCGCTCAAGAGGCCAGGAGCCAGCGCTGTCCGGAGACACTTCCAGGTCACGTGGCCAGCGTGACGAAGCTGCTCTGGCGAGCCTGCACCAGCGCAGCACACGGAAACGCCGTTTACCTTCCCGCTATAAAGCGGTACCTATTTATCTACTTGCACTTAGGGGTGCTTTCGAACTGCTAGGTGGGCAGGAGCTGGGACCGAATGACGGGAGCTCACCCCGCCACGGGAATTCGAACTGCCGACCTTGCGATCAGCAAGTCCTAGGCACTGAGGTTTTACCCACAGCGCCACCCGCGTCCCCTCAGACAGGTAGGAGCAGCCAAACTGCTTTATTTCACAGGAAGGTGCCACATATTTTGCTTGATAACTAGAAGGGCTAGAGACTTACTTTTTTGTACATGAAAATTCAGACTCCGGGGTACCTGCCCAGGAACACCAATGAAGGCCTTTGCAGATGCTCAGAGTTGGCAATTCCTACATTACAACACTGGCCAAATTTTATAGTTTTCTAACTTGTTAATATAAATATTAATACACCAGCAAAAGATTTTTTTCATAGACTACATGCTTTTGCATCTGTATATATTACAGAATGATGACAGGGAAGGAATAGGCTTGAAAGCACATGAAGCCAATATAGGTCTAAGAGTCCACAAACAATAAAACAGTTAAAAAAAAAAAGGAACTCCAATGATTAAACTTGTGAAATAGTCTGATTTCCAACTCCATTTGGCCTAATCATTCTTGAACAGTACAGAATGAATTAAACAAATTCACTAGCTGTGTTTTGGCATATCCTGGCAATGCTAAGTTTTAAACAAATTTGTTCATTTCAATAGGAGTCAGTCATGAAATATATTCATGACCGCCAACAATGTCTACTGCATGATCTACCACAACCTGGCATTTAGAGCCATATTTCAAACTCTTCACAAAGTAAGCAATGTTATCTCCTACTTGCAAAGCAATGCTGCAAGTAACTTGCTTAAAATTGCCAAGCAGCAACTTGAAAACAACCTTTT